ATATATATATATATATATGTACGTTGCTAACTCGTGACATATGTTATTTTCCCACCATTTTGAAGCTATAATTATTGGCAGGAAAAATCAAACACAAGTGCAGTTTTTGTTGCTTTGCTCGTTTCGCTTTTTTCTCTTTTCTACTGTGCGTAGAAAAACGTTCCCCCCCACTAAAAGTTTTGAACTGCTGTGCTGAAACGTTGTAAGTTCAGTTAATTTTTGCGAAAAAGGGGGTACAAGGGCGCACAGTCTGGGCAACACAAATTAGTGAAGAAATATTTTTGACGCAGCGGTCTTTCGCGGGTCAAGAGCGAACACATCGGGAAAAAGCTTCACAAACAGGCCAAACGCAATCAGCGTGAACAAAATTGAGAAAATTATACAAAACACACAAATGTGAGGTAATTATACAAGTTTTGCAAAACCGTTCCCAAATGCTGCGAAATTATTCTAGCACATTTTTTTCCACGCATGCTAAAAGTGTACGCTTCGCGCCCAGACGGCTAAAAACGCCAATATGGTCACCCGGTTTAACCACATTTGGTGAAATTTGTGACACAGCAAAACAACAGTTCTGTGTGTTTACCATAACTCTGTTTTAAATCTCTTTCCTTAATCTACGCTTGAATTTTTGTTTTTGACAACTGCAGACCTTTACATTTGATTCGTACACATGTACAAAAATATGTGCAATGGATGCGCATAAATAGCCGTTGTTGTTTTTTTTTTTTTTTTTTTTTTTTTTTTTTTTTTTTCTATAGATATAGCTAGTACAGGTAATATAAATACCATTTTGGCTAACTTTGAAAATTTTGAAACGAATTTGGCATTTTTGCTATTACCTTTTCGTACTTGTTAACTCCATTAAGTGATTTGAACGATCCATAAACGCAGACTTATCATGCACCTGTTCAGTGTAACTATTTTTTGAACACTTTTGAAGGATGGAAAAATGCACATTTTAGCGCTTTTTGTCTGAACTTGAACAATTTATGCCAACACTTTTCCGTCCCATTCGTTCTATGAACGGATATATTTTTTTTTAAAACATCACAAATAATGAATAACATGGTGAACAAAACGGTAAATCACACCACAAAATAAATGACACACCAAGAAATCGCCTATGTTAATAACATTCTTGTTTTATGTAATGTCTGTTATGTTACGTAACGAATAGTGTACACATACGTACATGCGCACGCGATGTGTGTACTTTTTTGTTTAAACTGAAATTGTATACTGTGGTTATATGTCCAACAAATATGCACTTTTTTTTAAACCCATTTAAACCCATCCTTTGGAAAAATATACCAATAAAAACGTGCGATATATGTTTTACAGCCACACGTGCATGCTGTATAAACGTTCCGAGGACGCACACATTGTCACCTTTTTTCTGGAAGACTCTTATGCATTTTTCGTTCCATAATTAGCAATACGATTTTGCATCATATGCATTCATTAGTCACTGTCGAGCGTTTTAAGAACCTCTCAGAAAAGCATACAACGACGTTCACACTGTTATATGTTTTTATTGTTTTTTTCGGCTTTTCTCACCCTACGCCCGATATAGCCACAGTTGTAAATTTCATACAGTAAATAAGCAAAAGCGCCGTGCCGACATCATCATCTGCAGTACGCCCCTTCAAAGTGTCAACCGTATTATGGATATGGAACATCCCAAACGTACGCCATGCTGATGGCCCTGGCTACCGTGACATACCAAGCTGAGGCACAATTCTTATGTAAGAACATTGTTATATGTATGTACATATATCGCACTGATTAATAACCCCGCAAATTATACACATAATAAGCAAAGTGATGGTGAGGTGGGGAAATCACCAGGTACAAAGTTTAAAATGCTACTTCTACAGAGCCATGTCTGCATTTTCAAGGTAATATTGGCCTCCGCTTCGCTATGTATATACACAATTTTGACATAAACAAACCCTTGCGTCACAGAAATAGTGGAACGTGTCGTAACCCCCGCCCCTCGGTGCATTGCTATAATTCGCCATGTGGCAAAACTCCTTAATTGCGGAGGGGGAAAAAAAATAAAAACTCACACGCAATACCGTATAACATGCGTTGAATTCCTATCTGCCTGAGTGGCAATCCACACAATTACTAAAGGAACGTGCAAATTGTTCAAAAAGAAAAAAGACAATTCTTTCCCTACTAATATGTCTTTATGGAACTTCTAAATTTATGCTGTGCATGTAGCACTTAAAAAAATGGGGGAATGGTACGTTCTCTTTAACACCCCGAAGATGTGCAATAATGGTGACTTGGCATGCCTTTACGAAAATCATCACATGTGAATATATCTCGCAACAAATTTCCGTTTTACGGTGCCCTCCGCATTTCAGTTCATTGTGCACACATCATGTATGACAAAAGCGGACAATGTTAAATGCGTAGAGGATGTCATCCCACGTTGCTCTTTTCCCCTTTTTTGTTTCTTTTTTTTCCCATCACTGTTAAAAGTTAAAGAAAACAAAAAACACCCTTTGAGCAGTAAAATTGTTTTCACCACAAAAGAACATAAAACATGTTCACTTCACCACGTTTAAAGTCGCATAATCCGCGGGCGGTTTAGCAAAAAAAATTGTGAAGAGAATTCATAATGTATGCATTACGCATATGTTTATTGTTTATAATGTAGGCCATATAAACATGCACTTATAATAACCCCATGTTATTATATATCTTCACTGCGAAGATCCCACGAACACACTACTTTCCTTTCCACAGCCCATGCACGTGAAGTTGCAGCTGTAAAGGTTGCTGCCAAAATATGAGCGGGAAGATATTCCTTATGTACTTGAGAGGAATACGTAAAGAATTTGCTTGGGGGAGAAAGCGCGTCATTGTTTAAGAGAACGTTTTTTTTTTTTGTTTTTGCTTCCTACACCCAAGCCAACGCTTCCGACTGCACTAACTTAACCCTCTTCTTGTTTGCAATTGGGAACGGGGGCAAAAATGGGCAACACGCCCTTTAATTTTATTACAGAATGTTCGTGCCATGTTTTATAAAAATGATGGTAAACGCCACCTGTAAAAATACTACATGCGTCGTATATATTATAATGTTAACGGTTATATTTATATGAGCATAAAATATATAGTATATAATATATGACAAGCGCAATTATTAGTACCCATATGCATAGCAATTTCTGCTTCGCGTAAAGCACTGCATTATGCCATTGTAAATAATAACGGAAACAAATTGCGAACTTATTGGGCCGCATCCACCACGGAGCAAACACATTGTTTTCTGATGCCTTTCCCTCTTCCCCCACTCAACGGGTTTGTATGCCCAACTCCCTTGTATTAGCCCATTGCCAAAAAAAACAGCGCGTGGAAAAACGTAATTTCCTTGTTGCCTTCAGAGTTTCGGCGGCAATGTCACTCACTCAAAAAATCAATTAATATCGCGGGAGATATCTGATCATTGCGTGTTACCCGTTTATCTATGTATACATGCAATGCTAACATATATATATATGTATATTTTTATTTATTTACGCATGTTTTGTATGGTACTATATAATAATAAATATATATATAAATACTGCCTAAAATCACATGCAGCATATTCGCCTTATAATATTCCCATCTCCCACCACCAGGGCCTACCCTGCGGAAGTAACCTGTTTGCATTTTTATGTGTTCAAGCGTTTTGTAATGTTGCCATGAAAAACCAAAACAAGCAAAAACCAACTGCGTGAACGCATTATGTTACCCCATGTACACCTCATTTTTCCTATAAAAAAAAACATGCGTGTTTTGCATGGTACATTGTAAACATACATGTACAAATAACGAATATAACGTTCGCACGTACAAATCGCTGTTTCCATGTGATGCCACTTCGCAATCCACATAACATGTATAGCATTATATGCATATAAATACGTATATAATAAATACATATATACATACTGTATGTTTAACTTCACATCGTTGCGTTTTAATTTTATTTATTCATCCATTCGTTCGTCCGTTCGTTGTTTTCCGTTCGTCGTTCGTTCGCTGGTTCGTTATATTTTTTTTCCCTAGGAGTTTTTTAAAAATAAATGGAAAGCAAAAGAGAGAGGGAAATTTTGTTTTCCATTTACGCAATGTTTACATCCCGCATGTTTGCATATAATTTTTTTTCCCAACGCGAGTGATTAAGCAATTTTATTTACAATTTCTCAGTGTGACACAAATTGCGTGTGCCTCTTTGGAGCGTATTAAAAGCAGCAAACCTGTAAAATAGCATCACGCGCGCGCTTGCATATACGCACGCGTACATGTATATATTATGTACTATGGTCAACCCCTGACTTGTACCATTTTTTCGCAACAAATAAGCGCCATTAATATGCAAATGCGCATATGTACAGTATACACACGTATACTATAACGTACGTACAAGAATAAATATATGCATTGCCTTGTTTTAATTAATTTTTTCTCCATTCACGTGCCCCCTGTTGGTGTTTTTCCCCCAGCTATTTTATGCTTTAACATTTTTTTCACACGGGCATTGTACGTTGTTAGGAAATTTACGAGTTACCCAGAGCGTGGCATTGTACTACGTACGCACGGACGTACATTTATATAGGCACATTTATACAGCCGTATTCATACAGACAGATTTATATAGGCACATTTATATAGGCATATTTTTACAGCCACATTTATACAGCCAAATTTATACAGGCACATTTATACAGCATTCACTTTTGCAAGTGTACATATGCTCGAACGTGTTTACATGTATGCGTTCATGCAAACACGAATTCGCAGAAGTACACCAATACGTATTTGTACATATGCGTATACGTGTTTGCCTACAATCTGCTAACACTGTCGTCTAACGTCAAACACCAGAGAGAGGAAAAAGGAAACAAACAAAAATGAGCTGCATGGATGTGAAACAGGAAAATGTCCAAAGCAATGAAAAAAACTTGAACGAAGTAAGCCAGAGCTAACGAACCAATACGTGCATGTGTGAAAACGTACTTATGTGTGCATAGGCATATGTGCCCATTTGGGGTCCATCCACGAAGCTATGTCGTGGTGATGCTTACCTGTGACGTTACTCATGTGCACCTTTTCCCCCCCCCCCCCCCTAGGCCCAAAACATTGCCGCTGTTGATGGAGACAGTAAAAAGGGAAACGATGACAACATGAAAAGGTAGAAAGACGAAAAGGAAAGAATTGTGCGACACACGTGTGTGTATAATATATACACATGTGAACAGAGCAGTGACAAAATTGTGCCACTTGGTAATCGTGTGTCTCATTGTGCACGTGTGCACTTGTTTTATGCATGCACAATTTTAATAACGCGTGGACCGCTTCACCACATGTATTTTTTCCCCTTTTTTTTGTCACGTCTCCTATGGTAGTTATAGCAGTAACCCTGGAAACAACAGGGCGTCGAGATCGTACAATCATCAGGGATACACAAACATGAACCAGAGCAGCCACCCAGGCGGTATGGGCAACGAGTGGAATGACTTGAGGAGCGGCTCAGGTCACACCTATAGGGGTGCAAATAAATCTGTGGAAAGCAACAATTTTTCCTCAATGAATAAGAAAGAGCAGGTGATGGATCAAGGAAACTGGAGGAAAAAAGAATACGGCAATTTACCAAGCTATAGAAACAATAACTATAACAGTAACGAAATGAATGCCAATATAAACATGAACAGCTCAGAAGGATCCAAATATAATTATAATAAAAATATGAGCAGCACGGATAATTCAAGGTATGGTTATGGTAGAAATTACAGGAACGTTTATAATAAAAATATGAATAGGAACAATTCTGACCTGAAAAATGTAAGCTCCCGATCCAGTGCACAAGAAGTTAACAAAAATTTTAACAATAATAGTAGTAACACGAATAATGGTATTAGTGCTGGTAGCGGCACACCGTCAGCCAGTAGCAACACCATGAACAGCGCCAACGGTGTGAATATCGCCAGTCCAGATAATTACGCAAATAGTGAAACAATGCCCAATAATCAAAACAATGCAAAAAATTCAAATCAAAATGATTTCACAAATGTGGGAGGAAATTATAACAACAATTTTAGCCACATGAATAACAAGGCCTTTTACGAAAGTGCAAATAAAGATAACAAGTTTACAAAATCGAGCATGCAAAGTGGTGAGGATACGGTTAACTTTAATACTAACCCAGATGACAAGAAAAATATCAACTACAGGAATAACCAATACAGTGGGAATTTTAAGAGTGAGGGAAATGGCAGTGACATGCCAAGTAGAAATATCAACAGGGATGAAGCAAATAAAAATAACCCCGCTGCATTTAATCCAAACACGAATTATAATTCGACGACTGCTGGGTTTAATAACCCATCTAGTAACTTAAACAACTCAGCATTCTACAAACAAAAGTATGAAAATAACGACACTGTGAATGGCGCGAATCAGGGCAAGAATGAATATCTGCCTTATGGGGGCCAAGGGGCGAACAATAAGTACTACGCATCGCACAGAGGCGGAAACAGCGGTAGTAATAATAGGGGAAACATGAACAGGATGCACTCGCAAAACGCCGCTTACATGAGTCACGATAACCAAAATAGAAAGAGCCATATATACAGTAGCGAAAGTGCTAACAGGAATAGACTAAATTATGCGTTTAATGCGAATGGCGGAAATATGGGTTACATGGATACACACGGAAATAGCGGGTGCCCTGAAATGAGCAACGTGTCTGGTGTTAACCGAAACGGCATGGACGCAACAAATAATTTTTACCCGCATTCTTCAGGTAACCCCAATGTTAATAATCAAGGCACCTCCAATGCGAACCACTTGAACAACATGGCTCCCAGCGATAACGCAAATTTTACGAAAAGGGAGTGTATGAACATGGATAATAATTATGATGCACCCCATGTACAAAACCAAGGAGGCTATTATGAAAATGCAGGCGGTGTTAACACAAATGGAAATTTTAACGCTCAATCGGATTTTGCCGACAAAGGTACAACAGGTACTTTCAACAACACCAGCGTTGTAACGAACCCAGCAGTAAATAGCAACCCCAATTTGAATAAAACAAATTGGACAAATAACAATACTGAAAATAGTACTAACTATCCTGCCCGAGCAGTAGGGGTTGGGGGAAGCACCAATAATAATCCTAACATGAACAGTGCAGATAGCCGCAACAATAACAACGAGCAGGAGGATAATGATGACTGGGGAGAACTAGGGGAGGATAAGTATATAGATATCAATTCCATTATTAATAAAAAAAATGTTATTCTGAATCAGCTAGCTAATTTGAATATGTCCAAAAAGGGAAATGATAACAAGAACAAGAAAAAGGCCAAGGCGAAGAAGGATGATGAACCATTCATTCTGCCAGGGGTAGATTCGAGTATGTCACTTGGGGAGAAGAAAAAAAATAAAAAAAATAAAAATAAAAATGCAAAGGGGGGTGGTGCTAATAATAAGGAGAAAGAGAACGAGAAGGGTGGAAAGAATGCTAAGGATGCTGAAAGTGGAAACAATGATCAATCAGCCGACAAGAAAAAGGAAAAGAAGGGAAATGCCGGTAGTGAAACGGATAGCAAAATGAACGAAGGAAGTTTAGTAGATGATCGAACAAACGAGACGATTGATAATGCCTTTACGAAGAAGGATGAAGCAAATGAACTTGAAAAAAATGATGACTCGCAGCAACAGGAAAATGAGGAGAAAAAAGAAGAAGTGACTGAAAAACCAGCCAAAGCTATATACGTGTTTAAGAGAAAAGAAAATATGTCCCCTTTGGAGTATATGGAGAGACAAGTAAAAAGTCTTCTGAACAAATTAACGGTAGAAAACTTCCCCATCATTACCGAAAAAATGTGCCAAATTATGGACTCACGTACCAATACGGACGAAATACAAACCGTTGTAAATGAAGTGATTAATAAAGCTGTTTTGGAACATGACTGGTCAGAAATGTACGCCGATGTTTGTCAAGCCTTGAAATGGAGATCGCCAAATTTTGAAATGAAAAAAAAATCCTCCTTCGAAATTGCACTCTTAAAAAAAATCCAAGAAGAATATGAAAATTTGCCAAGTACATTCGAATCAACCATGAAGGAAAAATTAAAAAATGACGAAAATGAAGAAGAGTTAAGTTTCGTAGAACAAAAACAAAAAAAAAGATTATTTGGAATTGTAAAATTGATTGGGGAATTATTTCAAAGACAAATTGTATCCATATCTATTGTAATTAGTATAGCACATGATTTATTAATCGCTTTTGAGGAACCGAAGGAATATTGCATTGAAGCTTTCCTCCAGTTAATTTACTCCACTGGATTTTTTATTGACAAAATGGAAAAGTATAAAAACATTTTAGACACCTGGTTTGGGCGACTCAAAGAATTACAAAGAAAAAAAATGTATTCTAAAAGGATAAAATTTGTAATTCAAGATGTTTTTGATTTAAGATTATCTGAATGGAGAAAGAAGACGCATAAAGATACAGCCAAAGGTTTGAATGAATTGAGATCCCAACTCGAGACGGAAGAAATGATGGGAGGGTCTATTCACTTGGCGCAGCTCGGAAATATAGTTATTGTTGGCGAGAGGCATAATATCAGGAATAATGAATCCTACTCCAAGTATATGCAGGAACAGGAGAAACTTAGCAAGGCAAATCAGAAGAAGTGAAATTTGTTAGGGAAAAGTCCAAACGGAGAGGAGAAAAAATAATATCCAAACACTTGTGACCCCTCCCTCTCCCCCAAATCTCTTACCTCTTTTCCCCATACGAGAAGCTTGGAACAGCACCCCACATCATACCCAGCAAGAGTTTTATGGCGCATTTGTGTTTGTATGCTTGTTCCCCACAACGCCGCGAACACCCACACGCACATGCATAGCAACGTGTTCGTATTCGCTTGAAGACACACGCGACGCGCTCTGCAACACAGACGCATGTTCTGCATGTGATGGTTGGGGCACACCTCAAACAAAAACGCGTATAAAATAAACACCTTGTTGTGATGCAGGAATTCAGTCTTCTTACATGCAGTTTCTTTTGTAAGTGTGTATATAACTAACCTATTGTGCACATTATCTTGATGTAAGTGTCGCTATATTCTGCGCGTTTGCTTCAAGCGTGATTGTATGCCCACTGCGACAAAGGTTATGCATTTGCACATGTGAACACGTGTAAATGGCTATGCGCACATATGTGCAAATAACCCTAGAGAAAACGGGAAAAAAAAGAAATACCAGCTAGCTTTTATGCTAGGATGTAATTATTGTATAGTATTACTGCAGTATCACCTGTCGCGTTTCGCATACCGTAGCGTCGCAGTGGTGTAATCACGTGCCTACCCACCTTGTTCTGTTTAAAAGCACACTTTTTCAAATAAGAAACATTTGTATTACATAAATTTTTGTTTTTTAAAATGTAAAAAATGCATTTTTTTTTTTTTTATAGACTACCCTTCATGTTTATTTTATTTATTTTTTTTTTCCCCCATTTTTCATATATGTACAAATTTAGAATATTATATCATCCCCCCCTTTTGTATTCAATTATGCTTTTATTATAACCATCAATATTGTATTTAAAAAAATATGAAAAGGTACAAATTATAACCTGTAATTTGTGGTGGTAGATCCAGGCATGTGCGTTAAGGCGAAATATATATACTGCTGGTTGGGCGGTGGTTCTGTTTGGGGAAAAAAAGCCTCATAGGGGAACAACTGCTAGGGCAATGAAAAGTTTTGATTAACATTTGTTTTTATACTTTTTATAAGCGCAAAAAAAATGTTAAAACAGGGAATCAGCAAAATGTACCTATCTGGTCAACCTTTGCGTTCGCGATGATGCGTCACTTGTTCACAACGTCACGAGGTGTGTGTGACGGGGTCACTAGACATGGCTTGGGCAGAGGGGGGTTAGGTAAAATTAGGGAGAAACCTACTTGTTCGAATGCGCTAATATACAAATATGTATAAAGGATGCACACCGGTGAGGAAAATTTGGTGCGCTCATCAAATAGGTGTCTCATTGTAGAACGAAAAAAAAAAAAAACGAGAATTAACCCAAGCAGCAAAGTGGGCAATAGCAAATGAGTAGCTAAACTTTTGCAAACGTTTTGGTACAAATGAAGCCAAAGAGAGAGAGAAAAAACTGTGCATACACCTGATATGCGATGCGCAATCGCGTAATCCTGGACACGAAAAAGGAAATAAACATATTCGCTGCAAATACGCTGGGGAATCAAATTCCCGTCTCGTCTTGTTCAGTCAAAATTATCCTCCTCTCAGTTGTAAAATCATGTGAATGGTTGAACCGGGCACCACTCTGTAATCGCTGAGCTTCATATCATCGTGCATTTGTTTCCCTTGAAAAAAAAAAAAAAAAGCAAAAAAAATTTACCAATTTGGTGTGTACGGTGGGGTATGCCAAATGTACACTGCTAATTGGGTTATCACAACTGTGTGGACGAAGTTGGAGGGACGTCAAAGGGGGTCTCTCCAAATGATCAACACGAAGCAAAGTCACATTGGGAATGAAACCAAAATATGAAAAAACAATGCAACAAAAGGGGTGTAATTTGGGCAAGGGAGCAAACCTGAGTAGATGAGCCGAATCTGCTTTGCGTCTATTCCTTCCTTTTCTTCAATTGCCATTTTTATTTGAAATACAGAACTGGATGGTTCAAAATTAAACGACTGTCTTTTCCCGGTCAAGGTTTTTACTAATATTTGCATTTTTCTCCTTTTTGTGTAAGTGGAAATGTGCTCACCCTTACTTCCAGGATGTTACATTTCACATAAAAGTTGAGTGTGCTCTTGGGGTTATTATTCAAGCGCGTAAATCAGTTAACGTATCCTTTTTTAGCTTGATAAAAAGTGGAGGAAGAGGTTGCGCAAAAGTGTGAGAACTGGTATCTTACACGAATTGCGATTTGCTTTCTGTTTCGTATTTATTTTGTGTTTCCTTTTCTCATAACATTTATGCTTTGACTATGTGTTTATTTATTCACTCATTTTTTATTTTTTTATTTTTTCAATTGACATAAATGATATTTTTGTTCCCTTCATTGCGAAAGGATATATATCACTTTTTATGTGAAGTTGGAATGTGTATGAGTAGTGCGCATAAAAGGGGACTTTTTTTTTCCCCTTTTTTTCCTTTTTTTTTTTTTTTCTTTTTTTCATACTTCTAACCCCATCTACAATTATTAGTGAGAAAAGGATACTTTACACTACATTATATTCTTTAAGGCTACAAGCAGAAATGTATAACTTTCTTTTTACACAGCAGTAATCCCCGCTGTCACATTAAAAGGGAAAAATGATTTCCAATTTGAGTCGAAGTTTTTAACACACTTTCCGCTCGCTCCACTAGCAGGGCGTGTAAAATTAGGCACCAATGGTATTTACGCTCCTTCTACTTGTAAGCAGCAATTCATTTGTCATTCATTTGGGAATTATATCAGTGCGCAGGGAGGAACCATTGCAGTGCGGCAAGAAAAATTGCTAGCAACTTGTTCTTAAGCCTCTTCTTCCTGGCACAGTCTATCCCCCCTGTGTTCATAATACACCTGGACAGAAGCACATTTTTACATTTTAAGGGGGGAAAGTTGAGTGGGAGGACATAATACACCTAGTAATGACCTTTAAATTGCGAAATGTGGCGAGGTTTATGGGCAGGATTTATTTTTGTACATACTTCTCCTTTGTACATAGACCAGAGCATATGTGAATGTTCAAGTGCTCACATATAGAACTGCTTGGAATTTCTTTTTCCCGACAATTACTAAAAATAACACCACGTTGAATTTTCCATGTTGTATTTCCCCCGCCCCCTGTTAAGTACCATCAGTAAGAAGAATTGCTTCAAGTCACATTTTCCTATTTTCTTCAAAATGATGATCAACTTCCCATGAAAGACATGCCTTTTTTAGGTAACTCCACATATGCATAATTCCATAACACTTTTGACGCGCCGTGGAAGGGCCATACATATTGCAATGCGTGTGGAAAATTTTTTGTCCTTTCATGTAATGAAGATATGGATGAACTCCCGATGCCATTGTTTTAAAAAAATTCATAGAATAATAGGACATACTTTTCCGAACACACATTTATGCCAAGGGGCATTTCCGAAACAGGGGTAGAACGAATGGAAAGGCCAAAGGGGGAATAAAAACAAAAAAAAACAAAAAAAAAAACAATGCGCAATCACAATGTGTAGATATAATACACGAAACATGTTCTTCCTCTGAGTGACCGTCGTGTGCAATTATTCATTCGCAATTAAAAACAGAAAAAAATAAAATGTGCACATCGTTTTGCCAAGCATTCATTTTTACTTACTAAAAAAGGGCACTAATATGCGCATTACAACTCTGTAAATTCTGTCACAGGTGAGTAGAACACATTGGGGTGGACTCGAATGGAAAAAAATTTAACGCATTCATCCCCGCACCTGTAATTGTGAAAAGAAAAAAAATTAAGGAATGAATAAAAAGACGAATGAATAAAGTGCCTAATAACTCTGAAGAGGCAAACATGTGAGGAATAATTCCTCGCACAGGGTTTTGCACCCATTTCTTTCGCACCAGTCGATTTACGTGTCGTGGGCTTAGACTCGAAAATAAACAATAAAAAAAAAAAAACAAAGTACAAACTGCGTAGAATTAATACACACCTTTGCATACACATGTGTATTTCTTCCTACGGTAGAATTAATTTAAAAAAATGGCACCTCTAGCAGAATGGTTTAACAGAACAGGTCGAACAAATTGACAAAGGGGAAACTTGTTGTTCACTGCTCCTGCACACGTGCATGATCTACCAGACCGTTTGTTCTTCCTTTGATGTAGAATTTTTTGTTCTATATATATCCCTTGCTGGTAATCATTTTTGAGCACTTTGACCCTTTATCTTCTAACCTGTATTCCTCGTTAACCCGTCGTACGCACAAGACGTGCAAGTATGCACCATGCGACTGCCAAGGGCGAGGAAATTTCCCCGAGTGGTAGTTTTAACTCGAGTGAAAAGGAAGAACAAAAGAAGAAAAATGCCACAAAAAGGAGCACCTATGTTCTGCCTGAACTCAATGCAAGATTCTATATATTGGTGAAACAACACGCTCGTTGCATTTTAAGTGTTCCAAAAAATATTTAAAAAAAAAAAAAGTTGTTTTAAAAAAAAATGTTCCAAATAATTTCCATTTGTTGTTATCACATTTTCACGCTGACAATTTGTACATGCGTTTATGCTTGCATCTACATGTGTCAATTTATGAACATGCGTAATACGGTTGGAAATTCGTCGCAAGAATTATTCTGTCGAAAGGGTCCCCAGGGGGGGTACGCCGCCAAGCCACATTTTATTCGCAGCATGTTACAACATTTTACAACAATTTGCAACATTTTATCATAAATCATCTCCTGCTGTTTTTTTCCGAGTGTGAGTTCGCGCGGGAAATGTGCTCTACACTGCTTGAGAAGCCAACTCACATGTATGGTTCATTTTATGCAAAAAAAAAAAAAAAAAAAAAAAAAAAAAAATTTAAGACTGATTCACTGACACGTCCGCGCGTGCATGACGTGGCAGTATGTGTGCACATAGGACTTCAAACCTGTGACGGAATTATACAATTCGTGTAAGGTGTCCCCATTCGGATCAGCCGCACAACCTCCTTATGCTAGACGTTCCCTACCGTTCTCATTTTGTGCTTTAAAGTCGTACATCTACCCAACAGAGGTGCATCCATTTGTTCTACGTGGAAGGGAATGGGTGCGCACGCAATTGTGTATAAGGAGTAGTCCCTATCCACTGTGCATGCCCCCATGTTTGCATGTGCTATGTATGACAACGCATAGCCAGACAGCATATGCCCCTTCGCGCACGAACACTCGAACGGCTTCCAAAATGGAAGAATCCAAAGAAGGAACTCCCTTGGAAAATAAACGCTCAGAAAATGAAGAGCCAGAAAAAGGAAAAACAAGCAGCAGTTGTAAAAAAGTAAAAATGGTACACAAAACGAAATCGAACGAGAAGAAGAAAAAATCGTCCAAGAATTGTAAGACGTATAAAAGGTACAGATATTTTAAGCCCTTCAGACAGTTTAAAAATTCGAAAAGTTTGAAAAATGTGAAAAATTCGAAAAGTCAGAAAAAGAGAGAAAAAGAACAGGCAAAAAAGAAAGCCAAAAGGAAGGCGAAGAAAAATGCCCTCAAGAATATCCTACCTGTGGAGCAGGCCAGATCGACAGAAGTTGCAAATGAGGGGGACGTTACACTAGGCAACGTGGAGAAGCAGCTGTCAAACGAGCTCAGCCCAATGCAAAACAGTGCCAAACCGAGCAATAGTAGCAAATCAGAGTGCAAGAATATTAGCACCAATGCTGAATATGTCGCTTTGCATAAGGATAAAATTGTTCCTAAACATTCTGATGAGAAAATGAGGGGTAACGTCAACAATGATTATGAAATTAAAGGCAGTGTAGATGAGGACAACCTCTTTTCAGTTCACATGGATGTAGCCACGGAAAAGACACCATGTGTGGAAGCGCCAGAAGGAGATAGCCTTAACTACGTAGTGGAAAAGAACTCGCCCAATAAGGCAAAAGAAATAGTGGTCACGATACAACATTGCCAAAAAAACTCATGTAGGGAAGAAAATTGCACCGTTTTGAAGCCCCACATGGGTGACCCTCAAACGAACTACTGCGGAGGAGAAGAAGAAGAACAAATGGCTCATGTAAACGCAAGCAGGACCAGCAAACAGAGTAAGCCAAGCGAACCGCTGCCAGATATGCATCACGCACAGCATGAAGCAGAGGCAACACATCACCTAATAGGCCCACTGGGAGAGAAACAAACTTGTAGAATTCAATTCAGAGAGCTCATCGCGTCGATGAAAGAGGACACCAAAAATATTGTCATCGTAATGGAAAACCTCAGCGAAGAAAAACTGCTCTATATGACCATCCCATTTAGCGAAAATTACGACATTATAAAATATTTCAATTTCCTGTCTCTTGAGAAGATAAAAAAAATGATAAACTTGCTTCATGTAGATAATTACAAAAATTTTATTTTCGCATTTAACAAAAAAAAAATAATTGAAATTGTGAACCACGTGTCTGTTAACACAGCCATTAGTGTACTCTTAAATATGTCGAACAACAAGGTAGCATACATATTAAACCATATAGAGGAAAATGTCCTGATCAATCTGTTGAATGGAATACCTTTGTGTAAGTTTTATCACATCGCAGAATGTTTACCTATGCAAAAAATAAGTCTCTGCTCAACCAATATAACATATGAAAAATTGTACGTAATGCACAACTTGCTGCCGTCTAAAAAATTACATCAGGTAACCAATAACCTCTCTGTACAAACTCTCAGCAAGTTGATAAACGAATTGCCTTTATACAAATCTGTTAAGGTATTGAAAATGTTACCCCCTTGCAAAATTGCGCATTCGATTAACGTGAAGGAATTGACTCCCCAGTTTGCTTCCGAAATTGGGAGATCTTTCAGTGCGCCTGAAATTATTGAAATTGTGAATTATCTAAATGAGGGGAATGCATATATTTTACTGAGCAGATGCAACTTGACCAAAATTATTCTCTACATAAATTACATTTCAATGGAAGAGTTTAAATCTGTCACTTCAAAATTGCCTACTGAATTTTTGACACAAATTGTTAATGATATATCTTTGAAGTTACTCGTAGAGTTGTTCCTGTCTCTCCCCGAGGACAAAGCCGTTCCTTGCTTGTACGCCCTCACTCAGAGAAAGCTCAACTCTGCTTTGCGCATTATTCCGATGCAGACGGTCATAATAGACATGGTCTTGCGCCAAGTTCGGGCTGTCCAGGGAGGGTACCACCCCACCGAATCAACTATGGACGTGACTGCCGCCGCTCATCCACACAGACATCTGGTCAACATGATCGATGAACACAATTTGGCTTTCCTCCTTAAACAACTGAAGCCAGAGGAGTATGTCCCCTTCTGCAATTTTCTGTGCCAAGAACAGGTGCAACACATCGCCAACTCCAACCACATCAATTGTCAAACCGCCGCAGCGTGTATCCTGCATTTGCCGCTTACTAAAATGATGGAGATTCTCCAAACGGCAAGACAAAAACGAAGGGAAGAAATGACGAAATACATGCCAACTTTTGTATCCCACATGGTCCTACAAAAATCAAGTAATAGAAAGTACATGAACAAGATAGAACAAATGTTTATCACTTGCAAATTACTACGATTGAGAAAAGTTTTTAGAAACAGTAAAAAAATGGTCACTCTGGGGAAAAAAAAAAAAAAATTAAAATATTACCATTTGAGAAAAAAAACAAATGATATCATACGTAGCATTAATGTGAAAAATTATTCCAAATTTGTGAACTCCATTTCTTGTACCAAAATTGTGGAAATGAATCGCGTCATCGACAACATCATGTGCAAGCATCCATACACTGAGCCTAAAGTTATGGAGTGCCTTTTTGTCTTCTTTAACTTTCTTGAGAAAATCGAGACCTGCAAATGGAAGACAGACAGGAGGAATCTACGGTGGATAACCAAGGACAATTGGAAAAGTGGGGAGCACCTCCAGGACACGTGTAAACAGACCAAGCTATGCCCCTGTGAGAGGAACACAAAAATATGTCAGTTAAGCCCCTCCCCTGAGATAACCAAAAGGAATCCCTCTTTAGATAACACGACGATAAGAAAAATTATAACCCATGAAAAACAAGGGGAAGCAAACTATGTGGCGACGAAGACAGGGAAATGCAATCCAACTACCAACAGAGTGAGGATCTCCTTCTACACATTTTTAGTACACCTTGTTTGTTTCATAAAAATGCACATAGAAAATTACGTACTCCAGAGTTTCGAAAATTGGCACGACAGGGAAAGAGAGGAAGAACACCCCTCCAATAGGCAACGAAGCGATTTACCCTTAAAAGGGGCTCTTGCACCAAATCACGAAGAGGCCAGTACAGCCCTCCTTCATGAAGACTCCAGGGTGATAGAATCACACCCCCACTGCATAACGACATCCAAAATGATGAACACCACCAACAGTAAGTTAATTTTCAAGAGTGTCAGAAAAATTATGAAAAATATATTCTACTCTGTGAGGATGATAAACCAAATAGGGAATCCTTCCCTCGTCTTGAAGCACATCTCCATGCTTAACATAATACGGGCTGACATAATCCAGTGCAGAAGTGAACTACCAAAGGAGGATTTGAAAAAGAGGAGCGAATGGGATTACTCCACAGAGACTCCAATAAAGAGTATACATATTAAGGATGGAAGAGCAACCCTCATTGGGTTTAAAAAGAGTGCCGATGTTATACCACAGAGTAGCAACTTCTTCAGTGCAAAGTGTCTACTCGCAAAAAATATATTCAACGAAATGAAAAAAAAAAATTGCACAAAAGGGACACGCGATGGGGAAGAATATAAGGAGGCTGTGACAATAGAAGATGGCATTAAGAAGATAGAATCTGACCATACCATAGAAATGTCACAAAATAGTAGGACCACATGCACACTTAAGGAAGGGGACACTGTCGACATGAGGAACTTTAGTACAAATGAACGTAGGCCTCTCATTAAAAAAAGCAAAAAAAATTACTTCAAGAAGTTAAAGAATATCCCCCAAATGGCTAGCTTTAAAAGATTCAAACGTACAGATCAGCACCGCAGTAGTGAACCACGTGAAGGTAAATCCCCAAATGTAAGCATAAACACTACAATGGAAACCTGCCAAATAGATCGTCAAAGCAGAAACACTACTGCTAACCCACCCAATAATAAAAAAGCATTTTTTCCCATCCCAAATAGCAAAACAGGAAAAGTACTACCATCGGACGTGTCCAACAAAGGGGGGAAAAACAAAGTGTCTCTATTAAAATTTATGTTCGCTTTGAACGATTCGAATGCTAAGAGGCACGTTTATAATATAACCCTAATCATAAAATTTGCTTTTTTGAAAAAAAAAATATTTCTGAGCAAGTGCAAGAACCAAATTGTGGGGTCTTCTCTAAACGTACTTATAAATGATAATGGCTGTAAGAGGTTATTTAATTTTAGTGCACCCCCTAACGACACGTCATGTTATATTAATTCGAACATTGTATCTCTGCATTATGATGATACCGATGCTATTAAAAATTTGTATTCTTTGACATCTAACAAATCGGTTCCCATGTGCACTACACCGGAGATAATCCCGTCCACTATTCCACACAAGGAGGAACCCAAGAATCGCTTTAAAAATAAAAAATCATCAACAGAAATGAACAAACTAAAAAATAACATGTCAATTAAAAACATGTGTAACGATTTAAATTCTAGCATCATCCTTCTTTGGAAGTCCTCCCAATGTGGCTACATATTCTTAGACGCACATAATTCTCTGCATATAAATATCCATGACCCCTCCAGCCAGTTTTCTCTGAACCTGTTCAGGCAACATGATGATTTTTATGTAGGGGGAAATACCTACAGAAAGAGTAACTTATATTTCCCTAAAAAGGGGAAGAAAAAAATGAGCTTCAAAAAAATCAAATCGATGTTCTCAAGGATATTAGAGAAAACGAAATCTGCGCCAGTTGCGAACAGATCCAGTGGTCCAATCATGGAAAGAGGACAAGGTGAGGTAGGAGGAGATATGAAGGAGGAAAGACCAAATGTGGACATTGTCCTAGATAGGACTGCTTTACATTCACGTGGAAAGAATGTCCTCAACGAAGGTAAAGGAGACACACCAGGAGACGTCAAAAGCAGACGGGATAACTGCGCCAATGGATATGGTCCCAAACCGGAGGAACCCCTAATCTGTGAAGATAATGAGGTATATTTCGGCGATGAGTATTACAAGTGCTATGAGGGAGAGGTGCCCAGTGCATCTGCCAATGTGGGAAGCCATCTGAATGGGGAGAGCATCCCCTTCAGCGATCCCCTTGAACCCCCCCGAAAGAATGAAGAGACTTGCGAACTGAGTATCGACCAACAGAGAGCAACAAACTTGAGGACACCAAAGAGCGAACACGCCCACGACGTAGAAAAGTCAAGAAATGAAAAAAACGACACAAACGAAACAAATGCATATAACAAACACAGCATAGTGATCAACAAATTCAGCAATATTATTAACGAGGCACAAAGAGTCCTGTCTATAAAGGAAAAAATTATTAACAAGAAAATATTAGAACAAATCCATTCCAGTTACATATCCCCAAACTCCCTAACGGAAAGTGAAAAGGAAAAAATGAGAGAAATAAAAAACAACGAACTTAACAAAATTATGGAAGAAGAATTACGGAAGGAAAATAAAAATTTTCAATCGAAAGATGAGTACTCGTTTGGAAACACCAACTACACAGATGATGAGTTGAATATAATGCTCTACCTAGAAAAAAGGAAAAAAAAAAAAGACCAAAAAGGGACAAGGAAAAAAAAACAACTCATTGCTATGAAGAGAAAAGAAAATTATTTTATTCCATTTCGATTTAATCAAAGTAAAATATTAAAATTAAAATTGTTGACTCTTATTGAAAATGCTTTATGTAGTTATGATGTCAACATAGGGGAAGGTACCTTGATCAGTACATTGGATCAACAAAGACAAGGTGAAACAACAAAGGAATATATCGACTCTTCTGCAGAAAATATCACCAACGGATTCCGTTTCTCCCTTGAACAGGTTCCTTCTAACAGTTCCCACAATTTGGCAGAACAGTCCATTTGTTCATTTTTAAATTCGAATGCTTCTCAAAAAAATCTCAACGTAGATATGGTTCCTCTGAATGGTAATCCAAATTGGTTTCAACAAAATAGGTTAACCTTGACGAACCCAGTGGGTGACGTTGATCTGTTCGGCGTGCATGATGCCATGTGCAATAACAACCACGCTTTCCAAGTTAACATAAACACAGGGAAGAACGAACAAAGTGCCCCTAGTACGAATTGCAAGATCCTCCCAAACGAGACAAACAAAAAAAAGGAGCATTCACAGGATGAACAACATCACAATCGTGTAGATATTGCCCCCTTAGAACCCTGCCACAGCTCCACTTCAATCCTCCTCGTAGATAAGTACCCCCTGAATAAGTGTTCATTACTTCATCTAAGCAACCACGCACACAACAACACGAACACACACACAAACAGAACGTGTGAAAGCTCCTACGAAATTGTAAATAGCGTAACAATGCATGACAGAAACAACTCCACAAAAGGGTCATCATCAAATGAATCGAATCGAAGCTTAAATGATGACACAGACGTGAATAAAATTTCGACATTCGAAAATGAGTTGCAATTGTTTCGTACATCTAATCACCATTCGGAAAGTGTAGATATACAAGGAGGTACAGATGCCTCTGCAAACGGAAGGAACGAATTGGGAGAACCACGAAAGGAGGTACTACTAAGACATAGCAGCTTATTTTATAAGCATGACTACAACAATTTGGAGACGCATTCAAACCAAAGAGGAGACAGCACAAATGATGTCAACCAATTGGATCAAGTTGCTACTGCCTTTGCCTCATGGGAAAAAGGGGAAGGGGACGCACCTTTGAAAAAGGTGGAGCAAACCAAACGGTGCGATTATATTGCACCCCACATAGTGGGCCACTGCAACCAATCGGAGCACCTCCACTTGGAATTATGTCCACTGGAAAAGTGCGCAAAACGGAATGACCTGTACAACAACCCTGGACAGAACCGCGTAGCACAGCACGACGACTTACATTTGAGAGAACAAAGGGAATACTTCCTAAACGGTTTGCTCAGCCATATCCACAGCGAGCAGCAGGGGGATGATCACTTTGACCGCAACTCTATTGCGAACCCACATAGCGTGCTCGGGGCTGAACAGGTGGGCCTCCTCAATTTGCACTGCCTGTTCGAAAATAAGTCGGAGAATTTTTGCCTGATCAGCGAGGGTTGCACTAAAGCCAGCAATTACGTCAACGACAGCATGCTGATTCATACCAAGATGTACAATGAAATGTTGCAAATACAGAAGGATGACATGTCTACGTCGGACAAGTGTTCCATGCTCGGTATGTCAATCGCTTCCAACTCGTCCAACTTGTTCAGTAGCCACAACAGTGACAGGCGCCATAGCGACTCGACGGAAAAACAAATTATGTGCATTCACAAGAAGAAAAAAATACTTTGTAACAGCTGTGGAAATGTCCTCAAAAAAAATGTCCTAAAGGACCTATTCTGCTTCAGAGTAACCATAATTAATAAAAAGTCTTTTCTTTCCAAACGTGTAAAAATCAAGATCTATTATCAGAGTCCTTTAATCCGTGCGAACTTTGCTTCCAAAGACAATGTTAGATATTCCTTGGAAAAAAATATGACCGAATATAAGCTCAACATTATTGCCATTAATAAAAAAAAAATACGAAAAAAGTTGTCTCTATCCAAGTCGAAATTTTTCAGAAAATGTCTCGAAATTCAGTTAATTAGCAGTTTGGACAATATGCTAATTTCTCAAGGGGAAGAAAAAAAGGGGGTGAGCAAATGCTCTGGGGATGGCACCAGTGTTCACTCCTCCATGGACCATTTCAATACATATAAGGATGACCTCTTCAGGGATAACATAGAAACGGGAAAAAATTTGTCCTATGAACACATAAAAAATTATTCAAAACGCTTGTCCAGCATGAACCAGTCTTCCAACGACGTTCCCCCTGCTATATACAATTCACACTTTGCCATACTAAACTTCAGCATCCTCGACGATAAGAATAAGAAGTACGATTGTTTTTTTATTTTTTTTTTTTTTGTTCTCTCTCCCCGTGCTACATGACCAATTGTTCAGAGAGAATGACTTTTTGTGGGGCATACGTGTTGGGTCACATTCCGCCGCATGCCCTCGAGCTGCTTCCTTTGGCTTGCTCCTCGATTTTCACTGTCCACATAAATTCCCCTCTTTGTTGTTTTTTTTTTTTCAGGAAATATGATGTGGAGAGGTTTATAGTTCCTTCCACACTGTTTTACACCAATGGGTAAGGGGCACATGCTTCGTCGTCGAAGAATATCCAAACCGTTGCTCAGCCCATGTTGTTTGTACCAAAATGGGTGCAGAGCACATTTGGGCGTGCTTCGCCCAAGGAGGGGCATACCATCACCCTCATATTTTATTTTCTTTGCGCTTCTTCCCCAGTTATCACTATGTTGTGTTCATTTTTTGGCCTTTTGTTTGTATTCAACTTTTGCCATTTTTTTGGAAGTTGCTGTTGTGCCCATTTCTTTTTCCCTGCCCAGTGTACCCCCTTTATATATATATATATCATTCATCCGTTTTACACTAGTCCGCGAGAACCGCAGTTCGTTCAAAACTGAACTCTACACTTTGTTAGCCTTTGTGTCGTGTCACCTTCACGCGGAGCAATTTTTAATGTTAAAAGGGTCAGGAAGCATTTGTCCCTCTGTGGTCTTCCGCAAACTTCCTCCCTTGCAAAGCCCATTTTTGCTCACGCCTTGTTTTTATTTTATTCCAACTCCACACTGCTTCACTGCCTTCCCTGCCAAAAGGCAAACATGACAACGGAGGAGACGAGGAAACTTCTTACATCGTTGCTGCAAATTTAGTCAACTCCACCGCCCCTCGAAAAAAAAAAAAGTATAAAATTAAACTTCACCTTTCGCCGCTAAGTTGCGGAAAAGTGTACTATACCATGAGGGAGAGCACTGGGCTGTCGCCTAACTCCTGCACAAAGGAAATGTGAGTGGAGGAATTACCAACTGTCCATACAATATTCACAGAAAAGAAACAAAAAATGTAAAGTAACAACGCTGCAGCAATGTACTCCCACCACATTGCACACACCACTCCCCCGCTTGAATAACTTCCAAAGGAAAAAAAAAAAAATGTATGCCTCGACATCACACCCACACGCGTATCCCCTAATATGAATATAACAAGTTGCCATGTACAAATATTGTTCGTAATATTTCTAAACATCTATACGTGCAAATTGTGCTACATTAACAAATTACATGTAGCCAAAAAAGGACAGCCTCCTCAAAATTTGTCCCCAAGTGTGCATCAAATTAGTGAGAAAAATGTAAAAGCCAGTGGAACCAAAGGAAGAAATCAGGATAAATTAAATCTCACAAAATTTAATGGCGCTATTGGGCCATCGCCCATTTGGAGTAAGTGCGAAGCGGTGGACGGGGGACGACGCTTCGATGAAGAAACCCACAATGTATCATGCAATGTGTCATACATATTGCCCTGCAGATCCCCTGGGCACGGCTGTCATCCCGCTGGGGAAAAAACGGCTGTCCACTTTACAAATACGTTAATTGGGCCAAACCGATTGGTGAAAAAATATTCATTCTTTAAAAATCACAATGGGGAGTATCAGTCCCCCCTCAGGGAGGGAGGCAGCCATGAGAGGGGCACACAGTTGTGTCACTGGACAAATATCCTCCTGTTCCATAACCTGTTTCAAAACGAAACGGTGAATTTACACCTACACAACGTGTACCTAGAAATCATTCGCACCGTGCAAAGTACACTAAGGAGTAAAATATTTTATGTAGACATTAAGGAAGAGTTGAGCAAAAGGAAAAACACCATTATGGACATGCTGCACCAAATTCATGCACTAAATAATAGCACAAGCACACAGACAATTGATAGCAGCCCAGAGAAGGGAAAGACAAAACTTCGCATTTTATTCATCGGGAGCAACGAGTTCAGCTTGTTGTGCTTTAGAGTGATCAAGTTAATTATAAAGTACGTAAGAAATGATATAATGCTAGATCATGTTATTACCAAGAGCCCCAGAAAAAAGGGAAGACATTTAAAGTTAAAAAAATCGCACATCGAGGAGGAGGCAGAGAAGGACAGAATAAAAATTTTTTATTACGATAAAATAAGAAATGACACATATTTGCTAAAAAATAAAACCTTCGATTTGTGCATTTCAGCATCGTTTGGAGAAATATTTAATGCCTCCTTTTTTAAGAACATTGCTGCCCATGTATACACCTTGCACCCAAGCTTACTGCCACTGTACCGGGGTGCGTCCCCCATTCAGAGAAGTCTATTAAATAATGAATCCCTTTTTGGCTACTCTATATTTCTCACCAATTTGCGCATCGATGCGGGTACCCCTTTGATACGAAGTCCCCTTACATTTGATCACACTTTCAATTTTAATGACATAATTACGATATTGTTCACCTTGGGGTCATTGCATTTGATGAGTCATATTTTCTTTCTCGCCAATTACAAAGTGGGTGGTAGAACGAACGCGGAATTACAACCCAGAGGGGAGTCCCCCACCCCTTCGACCATCCCTACACATAATAATTACGATCACTTGCACCTTCGCCATTTGCAATATGATAAGGACCATGTCACCCCACGTAACGTCAACATAAATCAGAACATGCTGCATACAGACACGGGGCAAGATGTAATGAATCACACTTGTCTGAGAAATTATCCCATGCTCCCTTTGACCCATAAAAATAATAGCTACGCACCGAAAATAAAAAGTGAAGAAAGGTATGTATGTTTTTTTTGTTCAACCGCTCTGCACATTCATAATAAAATAAGGGGGTTTATAAATTGGCCCAAAGTGGAATGTACCTTTTTCCTGGTCCACAAGGGTGACCTGAAGGCTATGGAGGTAAAACTAATTAAAACGTCTTACGACTCCAGCGATCATATCAGCCACCAACATTGTCACCAATTTAAACACCTCGACACTCTTCAGAACCACAAGTGCTTCGACGGTATCCCGCGAAAAATGGCAATTTTTAATAGAGGGGCCATAAATATACTGTGCAAGGACAATAGCCTCCTAAAAATTTATACATTGCAGCGGAAAAACAAAAAAATTATGGACGCTTCATCCTTTGTTAACAGCATCAACGGCGTCGATCTGCTGTACTAGTGGAGCGTGCATGACTGTTTTTTTTTTTTTCTTTTTTTTTTATTGTTTCTTTGTTCGTCATTTCGAGCGAAGAACATTCAATTTGTTCATTTTTGAAGCTCCAAATTTCCGACGTACCCCACTGGACGATTTCAAAATGTAGGAAAGGCTTCCCGCCACGGGGCACATTTTTTTGCTAGCCCTCTTGGTGCAACTTTACGGGGCGCATATTACACGCATGCGCTTCTTTCGTATGTTTGTTAACGCACTCATTTAAGTGTTCGTGACATTGGGCATTCCACAGCTCATGATTTGCACATCCGCCTGTATGACTGCATATATATAATCACTGAGTTTTCCTTGCTCCTTCCCCTCCTGCTCAACTGCGCCTATGCATACATTTTTTCGTTTCGTGGTTTCCATTTGTTTACATCTTTACAAAAAAGTTCATGCCAATCCCGTGTGACTTAACAACCCACCAGCATATTTATACAAAGCAAAATGTAACGTATCCCTATATATGTGATTTTGAAGAGTAGAAAACAAAAAAAAAAAAAAAAAAACGGTTGACTGTGGCTAACTTAGTGAACTTTCCTCACGTGTATAAAAATGAGAAGTTTCGCAAGAAGGGGTACCTTTTTTAAGTTCTACGACAGAGGAAAACTCTCATTCCGGAATTGCTATTTTAAAGAGAAAAAACAATTTCTCATTAAACTCTTTTTTATTTCACTAAATTCGTATTTCGTAAAAAAATATTTATTTTCCAACACGTCTGTCGTGTTTCATTTGGAGGGGAAGGGGGCAGACGCGTACTTGGAAAAAAAGTACAAATCCGACAAACCCTACCTTAAAACGGACAGGTATAGGGCAGGAGGGGAAAACAAACGAATGCATAACTCCGTGAGGGAACAATTGCGCGCGGCTTCATACGCGCACACACACATGCACTCATACCAAACGCTACCCCCCCTTTCTTGAACCAAGCGGAATTCTCTATAAGGACCTCATAGACGGAGAAGGGGACCCCATTGAAGAGGGCGATATCGTGTATATTCACTACCAGGGAAAAACGACGAACGACTTTCGCATAATTCACTCAACTTTTAATAGCATAATTCCACCCAAGATCAAAGCTGGGCAATACGATCAAAAGCACATAAGGGCCATCTACGAGATTGTCATTGGCATGAAGAAGCACACAAGACGGCAGTGCATTGTTCCCCCACATCTGGCGTACCCCAACCATTTTCCCAGCCAGGTAATGCGGACGACCCTGGCAAAAAAAAAAAAAAAAAAAAAAAAAAAAA